ACTCTATGGTGCGTCTTTGCTCTTGCTCGGCGTAGCTCCAGCTTCGCCATGTTGTCGTGATGCTTTGTGCCTTGTTGGGTGACCTTTTCGTCCACTGTAGCCACCGGAACATCGCCGTCGACGTAGCTTGCTCCGCCGTGTCTGCTGTGACCGAGGACAAGCTTCTCTGTTGCTCCTCCGGTCCATCTTTCTGCTCGAGCGTGTTTGGGGTGAGCTCCTGAGTCCTCCAAAGCTTTTTGTTTGATCGCTACCGGCCTCCTTTCGCCGGTGTGCCGCAGCCGCGCCGTCATGGCCGCCATGGCTGGCGTCGTGCTCGGTCCAGGCCGTAATTGGTCTAGTTTGTGCCACCAATCGACGCGTTGTGATGTAGGGGACGTGGTAGTACCTTGGCCGTCACCGGAGACCTCGCCGTCGACGAGAAATCACCGGTCAGCGAGCTTCGCCGCCATGGTCAGCGCGGGGAACGGTGCTGATATGTGGGACCCGATGTCAGTGACCGTTATTTGAAAATGGATTTTTTTCTATTTTGCGTAATTGAATGAATAGTGCTGTGATTTGTTCTTTTTGTATAGAATTAATTAGAGCTCCAAAAATTATGAAAATTTTTGTGTGACCTCTCTAAGATGAAACTATTTAGCAAAAATATTAAATGTTAATTTTCAGTAATTTTTGTATGTGATAAAAATTGCTTTATTTAATTAATAAATGAGTTTTCATGATTTTTCTAGGCTTAAATAATTATCCAAAAATTATAAAAATTGTTTTGACACTTAGTTATAATATGATGAGTCTTTACAAAAATTTTGAGCTCATTTGGAAGAAGTTGATTTATTTCATAATTTGGGATTAAATAATTAATTCATAAAAGCAAATAGGAAACTTTAATGACTTAGGTTTTGTTTGAATTTTGGATTGAGTGATGACCTTGGGTCATTAGTATAAAATGATCCTTGGTAATTAAAGTAAATGTTTGAAGTTATGAGAAGGTTTAGTTAGTTGTTGGTTTGCAGCTGTACCGTGAAGGAAAGTTGTATTCAAGTTATTAATTTTTGCATCCATTATCAAGCATCATGTTTTATATCTCGCATCATATTAAATATGGCATTGTTACCTCATGTAGTAAACAAAAGCGAGAACGTGGTAGTCAATCAAGTTGTTGAGGAAGTTAATCCATCTGTTGAGGTTGGGTTTGATATCTGTGGAACATCTCCGAAACCTGACTTTTCCGACAATCAAGGCAAGCCCCGGATGCATTTAAACCTACCTTGTGTTTTACAAATTTATATCGCTTTTGCTTTCTAGTACCGCATTAAGTGATTAGGAGTTGAGTGAAAAACCTAATTGGTGTATTATCAACCTTGTTTTTCCATATCAACCTTGTTACCAGTTTCTATTCGAGAATGCCTAATTATGCTTAGCCATGCTTAGACCAATAAAAGTCAGGTGATTACCTGTCACCTACGAGATGTAATTGGGTTTTTGGATACGACTGGTTATTTATGTTATCATGAGATATGGGCATATGGAGTAATAAATCTAGACCGAGCGGACTCGGTGTGTGAGAGCCACAGGACATGGATGTCTTGTGAGCGGGTTTTTTCCGCCTGTGTCGATTAAGAACCGTCCGTTGTTGAATTGCATGAGGTGAGACTTTGTAGTACTAGCCACATACTCCAGTAAGCCTTAACTTGGCTATTCTATTACGAGAATGGCTACTTGCGCACTGGGAGTGGAGAGATGGCCGGAGTAGCGTGTACCCACGTGGCAATAGGATGGATTGGTGGAGTACTGTGCTCTCGGGTGGTGCGGACCCATTCTTGCTTTAGAGGACCTGAGGGTAGGTTGGTATATGTAGGTCAGGGACCTGCATATGTCGTGTGGTTGGGAATCCCCAGCTAGGTTATAATCGGTTTGAATCATCGTTGCTCCTCGGTTATGGAGACTCAACTCACTGTTCATCATCGTAGTTAATAAATGGAACTTGAGCACATGTTGAGAAAGAGTTTCATATGAAGTTCATGGTCTCAATACGGATCATGGCAGATTCATATATGATCTTGATGAAGATTTTTTTAAATGTTGAAATAAAAGAATCTTGTTAGAGAGCTTTTACGCAAAAGAACTTTGTTTATTGCTAAAGCCATACCTTGAATCCCTGAGCCTGCATTCCTAAGTCTTCTCAGTTTTTATTTCAGTTAAGTCTTGTTGAGTACTTTTGTACTCAGGGTTCGTTGACCCTTGTTGCAGGTGAGCCTCATGAGCAGGTCTGTTTTGGACCGTGCTGCATGACTGTTTTTCAAATCGAAGATGACAAGTAAATGTGTGGCCCTTGGGCAGGGCATCTTTATCTGTGTGTTTTGTTTTATGTTACTAATGCCACTCCACTACTATGGTTTGTAATAATAATCGTACTTAGTTTGTAAGGTTTGAATAATGTTTTGTAAACTAAGTTATTGTAAGACTTCCGCTATATTACTCTGATGTATATATTTGAATAAACTATTGTAATACTGCAATGACTCTGTAATGGGATCCTACTCAGAAAAATCATGGATGATTCGGGGTTCCCCGAGGACACCCGACACTCTTTTTAAGTTACCGGGAACATATGCATAGTCATCAGAGGTCATTGGACAGTGACAGGTGCATGTGGGCCCTATAATTTAGGAGGTTCTGCCACAACTGACCGGACGTGTCCGATTAGGATTCTCCCTCTCTGGAACCTTACTGGAGTTGACCGGACTCTGGCACCCAGCGTCCGGTCACTTTTCACTCAGCATCCGGTCGCATCCAGACGACTTCACTTGATCAAATGAACTGACCGGACTCTACTGCCAGCGTACGGTCACACCGGGACCAGCGTCCAGTCAATATTTGACCCTCCATTCACTTCCAACTCGAAATCATATGTGAATAAAGTTTTCTCCAATTGATCTAAGGGCTACTTTGGAGCTATCTAGTGCTAGATTTGACAAGTGTGCACCACACCTAACCCACTAGACTCACCTAGATCAAGCTACTAGTCCATACCCCTCTTAATAGTATGGCCAAAGGAAAAACAAAGTCCTAAACTACCCTAAGTGTCTCTTCAACACCAAACGACACTTAGAACTAGTTCATCCTTAACCTTGTCGTCCATCCTTTAAAAACCAAAACGATTTCCATCGTAGGGGCATGACAACCATGATTGCCCAATTAATTGCCATTACCATGACCTAACTTAATTGCCTCTGCAAAACACACGTTAGTCATAGTAATCTCGTATTGTCATTAATCACCGAAACCCAACTAGGGGCCTAGATGCTTTCATATGGCATCCAGCCTGTTTGTTAACTGCTTCTTTCTAAATTCTCTTTTTAGCGTGCTATCTAAAATTGCGCAACATCATGCCATATTAGTTTGGTTGTGTGTGAGCCTGATATGTTGAAGAAATATGATTTAGTGGAGTCCATTTGTTGATTGATAAGTCATGATCAACAATAAAGGAAACATGTGGTCATAACTTATCATGTCATCGTAGAATAGTATAGAACTATTCTGATACTTTCTAATGTTTTCAAATGTAAAATAATAAAGTCTTCTAACTATTTTAATTTCCCTTGAGAAGTTTTATAAAAGGAAGAAGGTTGGGTGTACATCAAATGTTTGCATACAGTTTCATTGACACCCATCTCACATGTCTACACTCTTCACTGCACCATCCCACTTATTTTTTCTCTTGAGCCATCATGATGTGTCCACACCCCCATACATCATTTTGACAAATTGTCTCTATGTTAACTTTTGTCTTGACATTCATGTTGTTTATAACATTCTCCATTAACTTTTCATAGTGGCATCCATCTAATCTGGTAACTCCATTAACTTTAAGTCACGACATGTATCTTGTTTGATAACCACTCTATGTTAACTTTCTACACACTCAAAGCTCCCCAATAACCCTACATACAACTTTTACCATAAAGAAATACTTGCGGTTTTACATGAGTACCATAACCCAATCTATGGCAACCAATCATTTGGAATGTGACTAGTATTTCTATGTGCCAGCCCAATATATATTGAGATAATATGATTCATGGATACCATATAGTGATGGATACAATAAATATCCACCATGTAAGTTTTTGCAAAGTATGGTGGCAAGCAATCAAGCTACTGGAAATCGATTGTTGTAACCAATAGTATAGATTGGCAATGGCTATTACTTCATTCCCATGTGTCCCAAAGTTCTTGAAAAGGAACGACAATGTCTTCTAATTATTTGTAATTCTAGTATTTGAGAAACTTTGCTAATGAAACAATGTGTGAAGTGGTATGGGCATGGTGGGTACAATAGTGGTCCCCTATACCTAGACCCACGCACACCACACTTGTTCACACTCTTCACTTTGGCACTACCATTTGTTCTTGCTCCAATAGGATGTAGTGACGTGTTTGTTCTCACTGTCATCATGCTTTATAACTGCTCTATATTCCTCACGGCACGCATAATATTAGATAACAGCTCTCCGTTAACTTTCTATTGTGGCATCCAGCTTGTTTGATAACTGATCCCTACCCACTTTCCCTTAACTCTGCCATTTGAAATTTGTGCAGCATCATGCCGTATTAGTCACGTTGTGTGTGAGCCTAAAATGTTGAAGGAATATGATTTATGGAGCCTATTTGTTGATTTCTACAAAATCATCAATGTGGAAAGAAATTAGTGGTCATAACTCCTCATTTCTACAACTATGTGGATCATAACACCTACTGACCTACTTGACCTGGACCCTCAGAGACTTGATAGAGTTGATCCCCCACCACAACCCTCGTCTCCTTCTATAAATACCACATCTCTCCTTAGTCATAGAGCACCAACAACAACAACAACCCCACTCAGTGTTGAGTGTTCTATCACCTAAGAGTCCATCCCTATCCCACCACCAAGTTGCATGCCCTTGTGCAAACCAAGAACTTCTGTTGTTTGAGGTTGAGGTGTCCTACTGTCTAGCGCCATGGAGAACAGTAGTAGCAATGGTAGTTTGTTCGTGTCCGCGGTGGGCATAGGCGTAGGATTGGGTGTCGGCCTTGGCCTAGCATTGACACAACTCATGGCATCTTCACCAAGAGGGGACGTGACCTTGGGTGGCGGCGCAACAGCTGCAGATATCGAATCAGAGCTTCGATGCCTCCTTGTCGATGGGCAAGAGACCAAAATTTCCTGTTCCGACTTCCCATATTATCTCAGGTGCATGTGTGGTTTTTTACATCCTTTTTACCTTCCTTATTTCGATTGGGAAAATAAATAGAGATCTGATTAGTCTATAGTTATGTTGGATTGATTGGTAGGATTAGGGTGGCTACTTTAGGGATCATATCAATTTGGGTCAAAAGAAATTGGATTCATGTTTGATGAACCATAAATGATTAGGATTTTGTTCCCCTTGTTTCTTAGAGAGGAAATGAGGCTGGTGCTCATGAGCGCAGCATTCCCTTACCTGAGTCAAACTATTCTACCAAAGCACATCAAAGTATTCAAGGACTCAAGCCACACCATACTACTTTGCGGTCAATCAGGTTTGCTTACGCATACATGCATACTCTTTTGGGTTGGATCATGCTTTGACAACACGATGTCTTACTACAGAGACATGCCTACAGTCACTTGCCAAGGCCATTGCCAACCAATTCAATGCACGTCTGTTAGCACTGAATATCTTCGAGTTCTTGCATCAGGTTAGCTTGATACTATTTGGATGGTAGTTTCGCTTTCCCCTTTCCCTAATATTACCATAAACCTCTTCTTGTCGTTGAACAGATGCAGCACAAATATGGTGGCTCAAGCAATGCACAGGTTGAAGTTGGTTCTTGTTTCACCTTATTATTGATTTAGATAGAGATAATACCTTTAGTTTGTATGGTACATTTTATTGATGATTTTGAGTATAGTGTTTTAGTTGATTGGGTGGTCCTACATTCTCTTTTCATATAATTGATTGATGGGTGTCAATAACACCACCCTTTGTAGCTAGATTGTTGGACATTTTCCCCGTTACAAAACATAATCAGAAGTAAGTTGGCTTCATGCTTCACATGAGCCATGGGGTCCTTGGAAAAGGACAATAATAGTTTGTCCACATCTAACACTTGGAGACACTTGTGTATATATATTTTTTAATTCTGGCAATGCGCTAAACTTTTGATGATTTAACTAACCGACTCTTGTCCATTCTTGATCTAGGTTCCTATAAGATCCAAAACTATGTCAGCTTTGGAAAAAGTGTATGATTTTTGTTGGATCTTTAAGCATATTTTGCAAGAAGGATGAGTCAATAGGTATCACATTATTATTCTTTTTGTCTGATACTAGTTAATTTCTGGCTTCTTCTTGTAGACCAATATTTATGATGTGATGTATGCAACCTTTGTTTTTCACACAACTTTTCCTATTAACTTCTTTGCTTGTTACATGCGTCTTGTAAGTCATAACCAAGCATGGTATTATGATTGTGTTGTCATGAAATATTGTTGCAGGATCAGTGGATCATGGAAAGGGTAATCATGATTTAAACACAAGGTAACACATCTGTGGTGCAATGAAACTTGACCTTTGATAATAGTTTGTCCCTCTTTACCATTTTTTGGTCTTTGTCAACAGATGTGTTCATTGTAAGAACATGAAGTTAGTTGGGGAATACACGTCCTTATTATCTAATGAAAAGAACAAAGACTCAGAATCTAGTGAACACGATGACGACGACGACGACGATGATGATGATGGTAGTGGTGGTGAGTCAAAGTTCTTATTTACTAGCTCATCTATGCCAAAACTATTTTCATGCATGAGACAAACTAATAAAAGCATGACTGCTAGCTTCCATCAATTTCTAAGAAACTATGACTTGGTAAACGAAAATGGTCTATTATATCAATTCGTCCAACTTAAATTTTTAAGCTTAAAGCTTTTCTACATTATCCATAAATTGTGTTTCTTATTTTGGATGTAGTATACTATTGATAGCAAGGAACAATTTGCATGCATGAGTTATTTATGGTTCCTTTTTCTAATGAAGGTTTTAGTGCTCCAGTTTGGACCTTGGATGTGAAAATTCTCTTACAGTGCCTTTACAAGGTAAATCAAGATCCACATGCATAATTGACGATGGAATGTAGTACTTGTATTATGAATTGATATATTAAACCAATTTTGTAGATCATTATTTCGACTTCTGCATGTAGCCTAGTTATTCTTTATATCAGGGATGTTGATATTATCCTTCGTAGTTCACTAAGAGCATTTTGTATGTTCCAGAAGATGTTGAACAAATAATTTGGAAGAGTTTTGATAATCGGTTCGCACTTCCTTGATGACAATCAAGATATTGATGGCATTAATAAGGATCTGACTGATCTATTCCCATACATCCTAGAGACTAGGCCTCCTAATGAAGAGGCTCATCTTCAGAGATGGACAAGACAAATGCGAAATGATATGATAAAAGCTCGGGATGAAATCCTTAAACATCAAATTGTAGGGGGTTTGTCATCATACAATTTGGAGTGTGCTGATTTGAGTTCTATCTCCCTAGATGATTATGTAGAAATTGCAAGTTACCTAGAGGATATTTTAGCCCCAGCAGTCTCATACCATTTAATGAATAACCAGGACCCTAAGTACAGAAACGGGAGGCTTATTCTATCTTCAACGAGGTTAGTTAATTGATCCTGAATTCATGATGAACCATTTGTTAGTTCTTTTAACATACTTTTGCTAACAACATCATTCTTGAGCAGTTTATGTAATGGATTAAGAATTTTTCAAGCAAGTAACCTTGAGAAAGTTTCAGTTGAAACAAAAAATGACTCAAAGGTATCCCATATTTTTCATTAAACAACAATTTTTTGCTTTTCTCATTTCCTGATGTAAAGGAAACAATATAATATTATATTCATAGAAATAGTGTAAGATGATGTATTTACCATTTACAAATTTGCCTATTGCCATATAGGTCACTAAATACAACGAATATGAAAAGCAGATTTGTAAATGGTAAATACATCATCTTACACTATTTCTAGTGTAAGATGATGTATTTACCATTTACAAATCTAGCACCATTTACAATATAATATTATATTCATACAAATTAGCTATAGCCAATGAAGCTGGTGCTAGCTTCATGAACATCTCATTGTCTACAATCATGTCAAAATGGTGTGGAGAGGCCGAGAAGAGCATCCAAGCATTGTTCAGTTTAGCTGCCAAAATTGCACCAGCCATCATTTTCATGGACGAGGTAGACGGCATGCTAGGGACACGTGAATGTTCAAATGAAAATGAGGTATCAAGGAGGATCAAGAATGAATTCATGATGCATTGGGATGGAGTTTTATCCAAACCAAGTGAAAACATTCTTGTCCTCGCCATGACAAATCGACCTTTTGACCTTGATGATGCAATCATTAGGCGATTCGAGCACAGGTGTGTTTAAAACTTTGTTGTTTCTAAAATTTATGATCTTGATCAAATTACATCATCTCTAGACTATTCACTGATGTATCATGTGGCTTCAAATAGGATAATGGTTGGTCTCCCTACTCTTGAGAGTAGAGAGCTAATTTTGCATAAGTTGTTGTCCAAAGAAAACATTGAAGGTATAGACTTCAAGGAACTTGGCAAAATGACTGAGGGATACAACGGTAGTGATCTAAAGGTTCGCATGCTAATCTTAATGTTGATTATTCAAAGGTCATTCTTTGTTTTACTAAATCTCTATTTCCCTAGAATCTTTGTGTGGCGGCTGCTTACCGTCCTGTTCGAGAGCTACTTTAGAAAGAAAAACAAATGAAGAAGGTAAGACAAAGGACAAACAAAACCCCTTGTTAAATTTTAATTAATTGTACCAAGGATCATTATTTTTTATAGTTAAGAGGCACACACTTTGTTGATTGAAACATGTAGAAGTATAACATGTCACCAAAAAAGGGTAATAAAGATATCAATATAGATATTGTCAACATTTGATGCCAGAGTCACATCATGTTACATGATATGATTATGTTTATTTCTTAGGACAAGAAGGAAAAGGAAGTGAAAGGGAAGAATGTGCGTGTTGAGAACCCACAAAATGAAGAAAGCAAGAAGGAAAAGTCAAAAGACAGCAAAGACATGGAAGCCATTTTAGAGGAGGGCGACGAGGATGAAATGGATGAGGTAATCACCCTCAGGCCATTAACCATGGAGGACCTAAAGCAGGCCAAAGATGAAGTAAGTGTTGCAAACCAATTTGCATGTTTTATAGCCTACAACTTATGATTTTATATTATTATTTGGTAGAACTTATTACCAAGGGGACAAACTGATAAACTATTGTGAATCTAACACTACACAGGTCTCTGCAAGCTTTGCTAGTGATGGTGTAGTCATGAATGAGATCAAGCAATGGAATGAGCTATATGGCAAAACTAGGTCAAGGAATAGGCAAAAGCTAACATACTTCCTATAGTAAATGGTTCTCAGTTATGTTGTCACCCTTGTTATGCTTTCATTTGTATGGAAATAACACAATGTTTGCGGTTGCCATTCAAGTTGGCCTATGTATCCATTTAAGATTGGTTTTTCTACAAGAGAAGATATTATGTGTAACTGCTTTATTGCTGACTAAAATCCAAATGTTATGCATTCTAGTGTTCCAATCAAAAAGGTTCATTTTCACTTTGTTGTTGGAACTATATTGATTCTAGGCACTTAGGTTAGCCTAAAGTTGTGCAAGTCGATGGATCTTCTACTAGGAAGTGCTCAAGCTTCAACATATCAGCATATAGCTGAATTCTTACAGCTCATCAGGCCACTTCCTTGGAAACACCAATAAGCTTTATGCCTAGACCCACACCTCATGGGGATAGTTGTCGTCAATGCAATAGTTCTGGTTGTTGATGATGATGATGGAACTACTGCACATTGTGCAGGATGGCGTTATCGAAGACAATGATGCATGAGCGTAAGACTGCCTTCGTTACCATCACATTCTATTCTATAGAACCTTTCCTCACCATGGCTCTCCAAGCTATGATGTGACACAAACAATCATCACACACATGAGTGCAACTCTAAATAGAGTTGTCAAACTACAAAAGATCCAAAAGGCCTCTTACGCCATGGTCTAAGTTGTAAGAGATGTGTTTGACCAACATATTAGATTGATTGAAATGAACCATGATTTTCCTCAAAGGAAAATCCATAGTATTACAACAAAGTGATAGTCTAAAGAGTAGCACTGCCATATGTATTACCACCACAACTGGCTCCACAATCATACATAGTGTTCAAATACCTCTATTAATGGTACAAATAGGGGTCTTTACCATTATTACAAGTCCATGTTGACTATCAAAAAGAGAATTAATAAAAACAAAGCGAAGCGAGTGCTATGAAGCTGGTGTCATCAGCCACAACCATAGGATGTAGACTGTCATGTGTCCCAACCATCGTGGTCTAAGTCGTACTCACGCTCATCTCTTTAAACCAAGATATTTTAGTACGATTTTGTACTGGCCAATGGCCAACCCAATGATGCTATTGCTTTGGGGGTAAGCAGTATGCAAGGGCTCTTTCATAGTATTTGGCTCAGGTAACCCTAGAAATGAGTAAAACATAAGTTTGCATGTGTCCATCCCATGCCCAACTCCTTCACATATACCAAAACCACACACACCTCCAGGTCCACTCCTCAACCAAAACCACACTCTCTAGATGATGAGGAAGGCTCTCTACCTTTCTCATCTCAATGTCCTCAAGCATGTTACACCACCAAAATTACCATTTTGGAATGTGAATACAAAACACTAAATAAAATAAATTATTTAGTCCTTTTCTAAAAGTTACCAAGATTTATTTAAGTTATTGCTAATTTAGAGAGCGGAAAAAACAACTTTATAACATTTTTAAAATTTAATCTACTTCTTTGGCAGCATTCAAGCCTTGGCATTTATTATTATGTGGAAAACCAACTTGAAATTTTTGATTAAGCCTCGACTAGGTTGTGTTCTATTTCAAAAAATAAAGCCTATTTTTTTCAAAACCTAGTTCTACAATAGAGTTCCAGTTTTAGCTTGGAAAGCCTCTAAAACTAAATTTAAATAAGTTTCAAGTACGTAATTTGGAGAGAGATTAAATTCTAAAAATAATTTTCAGATGTATTAAAAATAAGATTAAATCATGTTTAAAAACTTAGTTTAAAAAAGGTTATATTGTGGCTTCAAATTAGATTGTAGAATAATTATTTAAAAACATAGTTTAAAATGATTTCAAAAAAGCTTCGAACTAGTTCTTAAATGATTTTTCAAAGTATACTTTAAATGGTTTGCAAAACAATGCTTCAAAAGATTTTTGAAACGTGTTTGAAAAAGTTTAAAAATAAATTGTTTAAACCTAGTAAAACATAGTTTTATTTGTTTTCAAATTTCAAAGTAAAGCACTTTTGGGCACATCGGCTTGTACCAAGGATCCTATCAGCCATGTTTGGTCGGCTGAAGATTAATTAAGGCGGACAAGCGAGGTGTTCAAGGAGGAGAAAAAACACTTTGTCACACCCTAATTTTCAGTTTGTTTTCAATTTAAGTATGTTTGCCTTTGATTTATTTAGAAATCACATTTAGTTGAGAGGAAAAATAATTTTCTAATGCAATGATAAATGAATAGGTAAACAACATATTTGTTTCATTCACGTCGTTTCCCTTGGGAAACTGTTTCCTGAATTTTCTGAAGTTTTCAGTAAAAGGAAAAAAAAGACTTATTTTATTTTCCTATATGCAAACTTCGGTTTTGGCCTGCATCTGCTTGCTAATCGGGCCTAGCCCAGCCCCTGGCCATCCACTTCCGCGCCTCCCTTGTCCTTCAGTTATTGGGCCAAGGCCTAATATTACCGAGGGACAAGGGTCCGCACGACTAGGCCCATTTCATCACCCAAGGGGCCCTGCTGCAGATTTTCCGCTTTCCCCGCACCAAGCTGATTCCCCGCCTGGAGACAGTCCCGCCCCGCCCGCCTTCCAGTTGCTGAAGTATCTTCCTTGGTTTGACGTCTTTGACGTTGCCTGCATCATGCACATATAGCATAGCATATTGCACAAACCTGGTTTCTACTTTCTAGTATCAGCAGATTAACGTGCAACAGCTGCGTGTGAGTGTGACCAAGTTCTCTGTATACCACAGACAAACCAACCGAAAACCTCTGTACACCCAGCCAAAATCCCCATACATGTCTGTACTCAGTAGAAACTTCAAAACACCTTGTATGTATATCTTGGTCCATATATATCCTTAAGCAAGCACCAAATCTCCATGAATATTATCATCGATACATGAATCTGACTGAACATATGTATGTACACCGAGCAAACGATTCCTCTTTCTTCCTCCACAGTTTCCTCTTCTTTCTTTATTTACGGTGTGTTTAGTTACCCAAAATCCAAACTTTAACACTATGTAAAAAGAAGATTCCCCGTCACATCAAACTTGCGGTACATGCATGGAGTACTAAATATCGACGAAATCAAAAACTAATTGCACAGTTTGGTTGTACTTTGCGAGACGAACATTTTGAGCCTAATTAATCAACGATTGGACAATTATTATCAAATACAAACGAAATGCTACAGTGCACTACAGTACCGCGCAGTGATTTTGCCGGTGCCAATTCCGGGCAACTAAACGAGGCCTTAACGCCACTCTCTCCTACTGTCCAGGCGTCGCCTTCCTTTGCTCTTCATTATCTAGTTCTCCTACTTCTCCGTTAGTGTACATATGTTTTGGATTTATCCCTGTTTTTGCTTCCTTTTCCTGCGCCACACGCATATGAGTTCCGGGGGAGGGAACTGGGTGTGATGTGGGTTGTTGCTGGAGTTGAAGAAAATAATTGCAATTAGAGCAATTTTTTTCATGGACATATTTCTTACTTTCTATAGGTTTACACAAGTGCTCCTTCCATTCTAAATTATAAAATAGGTTTACTATTTGTATGCTGCCTGATATCTTCTAGCCTAGAATGAAAATCCCAAATGTAGGTACTCCCTCCATCCCAAATTGTAAGTCATTCCAAGAATCTTGGAGAGTCAAACTTTTTCAAGTTTGACTAAAATTATAGAGAGAAACACAAAGATTGATGACATCAAATATGTATAATATGAAAATATAACTAATGAAGAATCTAATGATACTTACTTGGTATGATAAATATTATTATTTTGTTATATAAATTTGGTCAAACTTGAAAAACTTTGACTCTCCAAGATTCTTGGAATGACTTACAATTTGGGATGGAGGGAGTAACATTTACGAAAACACAATAGCTATAGCTCTGTTAAGCACGATGGCTGACCAAAACAACGAAATCTGAGGAACCGAATTACTGGGAAAAAAAAAACTGCTTACCTGCTACGCTGTTGCCGGTTTGCCGTTTGCCTCTGCAGAGTGCAGCTCTGCGCCAGGTGCCGGCGGCGTGCCTGCTGCAGCTCTTGCGCCCTGCGGCTGCCGTCTGCCCGCAGCTTGCTGGAGCCGGCCTGCGCGCGGGTGCCGACTGCTGCTCCCGCCTCCCGCCTCCCTCCTATCGTTGCTTAAAACAGCAAACCTCGCACACAGGGTAAACGACACCACGAACACGGGCCAGAGCAATGGCTGTGTGGCGCAGGTGGGATGCGGCGGCGTCGGTGAGGCGCGCGCGGAGGGAGGCGGCCTTGTCCCCGGCGGCGGCGGCGCTCGGCCTCCATCCAGGAGGCACGGTGGCAGATCCAGGCCGCCCTACCTCCTGGCCGCCGCACCATCTCCTCGCACGCTACTTCTCCTCCTCCGATGGCGTCAACGTCGGTGGCGGGGGCATACGACCAAGCCGACGGACGTCCACCGGCGATCGGCTGGAAGCGCGACGAGGCGGCGATGGAGATGATGACGGCGTTGATGACGCGGCCGCGCGCCGGCGGGGCGCACGCGACGGCGGCGGCGGCGGCAGCGTTAGCCGCGTCGGTTCTCGCCATCCCCCGCCCTGGGTGCGACCGCGACCATGCATCAGCGGCCGGCGCGAGAGGCGGAGCGGGGAGTGCTCGCCCGCAGTGGCCTGCGCGCTCGCGAAGCAGGCGGCGCTCGCCCGCGGCGACCTGCTGCGCCAGAGGTCATAGCTGAGCTCGGACACGGGAGGCCCAGGGCCACGCACACATTCGGGACACGCGCGAGCGAGATGAACATGCTGCAGGAGTCGCACGCGTTCGGGACACAAGCAACATTCGCTGGCATCTCAACAATCTGTAATTTGCATGATGCAGCACTACTCTATAACAATTCGCTGTCATCTTATCAGTACTGCATTCACTGAACGTTTGAACGAGCACTCTGCACCGGAGGAAGAAGGGACGAGGACGAACGAGAACATGGGCACGCACGGACCTTGATGAAGCCGACGCCGGAGCCCATCAACCTGACCTCGATCTCGGTGTTCGCGTGCCGCCCCTGCCCCCGGGACGTCCGCATCCGCCCCTTCGTCCCCTGTCTATGTCGCCCCGCCCCGGATCCGCGCATGCGCAGCCCGCCCGCGCTCCAACAGACCCGCCACGCAGCCGGCGCAGGGAAGCCGGTTGGGGATATCGGACGGACGTCAAGTTGGCGAGCCGAGCCACGGGGTTGCCGGCGCGCCGCTGCAGTGCGGCCTCTAGATGCACCAGCGCGGCGCCGGCCAGGAGCCCGTCGGTCGCGGGCGTGCCGCTGTCGATGGAGAGGACGCACACCTCTCCCATGGGGCCGGAGGTGGAGCGGCGGCGCGCAGCCTGCGCGCGACCGCGGCGAGGCGAGCGTCCACGGGCGGGCTTGGTCTGACGGAGGAGGCGCGGACTTGACGTCCGTGGGCGTTGTTGTACGCATACGCCCCTGGGCCTTTATACGCGGTAGGCGTAGAAAATTGCATGAACGGGTGAGAGATAAAATTATAATGGCAGATCTCTGAATAGGTGAATTGTAATGACGTTTCTCCAATCTTGGAGAATTGTAATGGCTTAGAATAAAAAAAACTTTTTTCTTTCACATAAATTGAATTC